GTCTCTGGTGAAGCCTCTCACCGCCCCTGTACCACTGGCCTGTACCCCAGTTCTGTATGTACAAATAAATAAATCTTTAAAAAAAAAAAAAAAAGCAAGGAGATTGATGAGGATGCAGAAAAAATGAAACCCAAGATGATGCTGGTAGGAATACAAAATGGTACAGTTGCAATGGAAAATAGTATGGCAGTGCCTCCCAAAATAAAATGTGATTCATATATGACCAGAAATTCCACTTTGGGGCATATACCTACAATAATTGAAAGAGGGATCCTGGAGAGGTATTTATGCTCCTGTTTTTAGAAGCAGTATTTGTAAAAGGTGGGAACGACCCAAGTGTGCATGCAACTACAGATGAGTGAAAAAATAAAGTGTGGTATATACATAATAGCAGAATATTATTCAGCATTAAAAAGGAAGGAAATTCTGACACAGGCTACAAAGTGGGTGAACCTTGAGAGCCTTATACTAAGTGAAATTATCTAGAGACTCAGCCCTCCCTGGTGGTACAAGAGGTTAAGTCTCAGCACTATGAAGCTATCTGCAGCCACTGCAGTAGGAGTTCCATCCCCCGCCATGGGGTGACCCACATGGCACAGCAGACCTCTCCTGTCTCTATGGATAGCCCCTTTGGTTATCACTCCTATTGCACCTCTGGGTGTAGTTTGTGGGGGCGCCCAGAGGCGCCAGGCCTGTTAGCGGTGGGACGGGGCCTGGGCGGGGCCTGGGCGGGGCGGTCTCGCCCCGCGGGAGGGGGCGGTACCCAGAGGGCTACGCTGGTTGCCGGGAGAACCCACGACAACAAAAGGCGCGGGAGGCGGCTGCTGCGGCGCGGCGGAGCCCAGCCAAATAGTCCTGTGCTGCGCTCGCCGCCGGAGACCCGGGCTTTCTCTAGCCGGTCAGTGAGCCCCGGGCTGGCCCAGCCGGGCTGGGCTGCTGCTCCCGAGTGCGGTGCGGCACCTTCTTGGCCTCCCACGCAGGGCGCCGGGGTTCCTGGCCCGCCGTTGGGAGGAGGGGGCGCTAGCCAGGGGGTGTGGGGCTGTCACGGGATGGGCTCCGAGGCGGTTGGAAAGCCGGGGAGACCGAGGAGGACGCCGGAAGGGGCCTTGCATCCCCACCGAGCGTCCGGGGGAAGTTGGGTCTCCGGTGATAGGAAAAGGGCCGGGTTGTCGGGACGCGCCGGAAGGCGGGACCGACCGATCCCACACGGAGTCGGATCCCGAGTATTTCTCGTGTTCTCCTTCCATGTGCGGGACCTGAAGGGTTTGGGGAGGCCCCCCGACTTTGGGGGTTTCTTTTGGTCGCCGGTTTTGTTTTCCTTTGAGGATATTGAAACTTGGTTTTTTCCTAAGCTGTAGAAGTTTGAAAGCCTCTCTCCTTAGAGGAAGATGATAACTGAGGAAGAGAAATGGTGCCCACATGTTTTCTTTTAAACATCCTTTAAGTAACACCGCCCCTCTCTTTAAGTTTTTAAATCGCTCTCTCTCTCTCTCTCTCCTTTTTACTGTCTTCTCCGCATTGTTCTTTATGTATGTGGGCTATTTTCAGAGATCTTTAAGCAATTCATTCTCTATTTGCTGGGATGTTTCTGATGAAAATACTATTAACTAGCTACAATTTCTAGACAAGCACTACTTTTGAAAAACGAAGGCACAGGATGGCACCCTTTTTGGAATCACTTAACTTCTGGTTAATGGCAGGGCAAAATGGTCAAATATTTCTCTTACTTTTCCAGATTTCTAGAATTAATTGAGCACGTGTACTTAAATATATGTAATGCCTACTGTGTTTGCCTACACCCATCAAACTCCACCTTTCTTCATATTTATTGGTGAAAATACACTTGCTTCTAATAAGTGTGGTTGACCGGAATCTGAAGAAGTATATATACTGTGGATTTTTTTTTTTTTTACAAGTCAAGTATTTATGGGCTCTTCATGCCCATAATGGTTAGAGTAGGTGAAGGCATATAGGCATATAGACATATTGTTTATAGATATTCCCATTATAAAAGCCAAGAACGTGAAACTATAGCAGTTATACTTGGCACCTCTTATTAGCAGTTTTGTTAGACGTGGCTAAACATACACAATGACTTTTTTTTTAATGTGATAGCATAACAAGGTGTTTAGAGACATTTGAAAGAACCAATTCCTACAGTATTTTTGCAGTTTCTTTAGAAAAGTTTCCAGTACAAAATGATACAGTCTTCAGGATCCAAGAAAGGACTGATCGTATATATAAGTGGTTTCTTTTTCCAGTTCAGAATTTCACTGGAATGATGAAAACTGCCAAGGGTAGGTGTACCTTTGTTTTGGCCATTAAAGATGGTTTGTTGACTCTGTTTTGGGATTTTATAGCCCAGGGGAGCTGATATTTTTTTTACTCTCATTGGGCTCTTAGTAAAGTGATGTAAATATTTTTTATTATTGTGGTCTTTTGCAGACTATCCACTCACAAAACTATAAATGCACAATACTGCTCCTGAGTTGTTAGTTTTTAAAAGACTAGTGAATATTAAATGTCATAATTGCAGTTTTCATTACAAGCAATTATTTTAATGCATTAAACTGCTAGGTTACTTAATGTTAGTTTTCAAGATGTACCTCTCCAAAAATCACAGTGTTTTCCCTACTATTTACCATAATTTAACCTAGAAATTATCATAGATGACTTGTCTGTTACATTTTTAAAAGATTTTATCTGAACATTCATTTACAAGTTTTTATATGAACATGATAACTGTGTTCTTTTTTTGAGGAACTGACAGACTGTTTTCCAAAGTACTCCATCAGGAGGGTATGAGGGTTCAATATTCTCTGCATTCTTGCCAACACATGTTAAGGTTATTTTGATGATAGCCATGTTAGTGGGAGTGAAGTGGAATCTCATTGTGGTTTTGATTGCATTTCCCTCGTTGCTGATAGTATTAATCATCTTTATATATGATAATTGGTCACTGTTCTACCACTTAATGAGTTGTCTTTTCACTTTCTTGATGGTGTCCTTCTAAGTTTGATTGAGTCCTTTTAATCTATTTCTCATTTTATTGCCTATTGCTTTTGGTGTCATATCTGAGAAACTATTTCCAAATCCACGATTTATCCTTGTGCTTTCTTTTTATAGTTTTATAGCTTCAGCTCTTCCAATTAGGTTTAGGAACTGAGTTACTTTTTGTATGTGATGTGGAGTAGGAGTCCCATTTCATTGTTATGTGTGTGGATATCTAGTTGCTCTTTAAATATTTGTTGAAAAGACTATTCTTTACTCCATTGAATTGTCTGGGCACCTTTGTCAAAAATCCATTGCCCTTAACTGGAGAATTTATTTCTACAATAGATTGTCAGTTCTTTACCATTACTTTTAAGTTTGTTTTATGCCAGCATGACACTGTCTTGATAGCTGTTGCTTTTTTTTTTCTTCCTAGCTAGAACAGTGTATCCTTCAATTTCTTTTTTGATATTATTTTGACTATGATGTGATTCATGAATTAATACATGAATTTTAGGATCAAATTGTCACTTTCTGCAAATAAGTTGGCTGGGATTTTGATAGGCATTGTGCTGAGTCTGGAGATCAGTTTGTGGAATAGTGACACCTTAACACTATTATGTTTTCCAGTCCATGAACGTGAGATGTTTTCCCACTTACGTAGATTTTCTTTCAACAACATTTTGTAGTTTTCAGGGTTTAAGATTTATATATCTTTATTTGATTTTTTTTCCTATTTTATTCATTTCCCTAAGTATTTTATTCTTTATGTTGTAAGTGGAATTATTTTTATATTAATTTCTCAGGTTGTTCCTTGCAAGTGTAACTATCAATTTACTTCTTTATGTACTTATTCTGTTAGAGATCTTAAGAAAAAAGTATAATATGATGCAGGAGTAGTAAGGTAGCTTTCCTGCTAGTTCAGTTTTGAATAAAAATTTTTATTGAGTAAGAAATCTTTACAATTGCGCTCATAGGTTTATTTCTGATATTTGTAGCAAAGACCATATGCCATTTTTCAACATATAACTGTGAAATCTAGGGCAAAGTGTTTTTTTTTTTTTGGCACCTGTACAATTACACAATAATTTTTTGTCTTTATTTTTGAACTCCCCAATTATTCATATTTTGATTAATGACTGGGAAACATGATCACTATTGAGAGAATAGCATAGTGGAATCCCATGTACTTATTACTTCCTCATTTACCAACTCATGGACCCCAACCCGGAGATGATTTTGCAGCAAGTCTAGACATTTCATCTATAAATCACAGATGTACTTTTTTTTTTTTAAAGATTTATTTATTTGTTTATACAGAACTGGGGTACAGGCCAGAGGCTCAGGGGCGGCGAGAGGATTCACCAGAGACACCAGGGAGCAGAATAGGCAGATCTACGAAGTACACTGCTGAGGGGAGCAGCGGGCGGGTCAGGAGAAGTCTGCCACGCCATGTGGTCACCTCCCGGGCAGGCAGGAATCGAACTCATGCTGAAGTGGCTTTAGCTTCTCAGTGCTGTGCTTTAACCCGCTGCGCCACCAGCGGGTGTACTTTTATAAGACAGATTTACTCTATAACTATCTTGGGGCAAAACCTGCTTTAATTAACTTTGCTTTAGAAGATGCTTAGTGTACTAGGATAGAGTCAATAATTAAATTCTGTTTTTATTTTGATACACAGGAGTCCAGATCATACATAAAATGGATGTTTCTCACACTAGATACTGAATATTAAGTAGAAAATCTATTTAGTAAAATCTAATCTACCATGGAAGAAATACCAGTAAAAGTTGCTGTAAGAATTAGACCACTGCTGTGCAAAGAAGTTCTTCATAATCATCAAACTTGTGTGAGAGCTATTCCAAACACCCAACAAATTATCATTGGGAGAGATAGAGTTTTTACCTTCGATTTTGTTTTTGGCAAAAATTCCACTCAAGATGAAGTTTATAACACATGTATAAAGCCGCTAGTATTATCACTCATTGAGGGCTATAATGCAACTGTTTTTGCCTATGGACAAACTGGATCTGGGAAGACATACACCATTGGAGGAGGCCATGTTGGTAAGATTCTCCTATTCTTTGACTTTTGTTTGAGACACTAGAAAGAAGCTAAATATCACAATACCTGGCACATACTAGGTGGCCAGCATACTGATCTAAAGAAATAATAGTATAATCAGATATAAGATTACTGAAGATTTATTACTGCAAGATTTGTTTTTAAATATTGAAGTTTGATTTATAATATTTGCTTGAGGAAAGAAATGTAAAACAATGCCGAGTGTTTAGCCCTTTGCCGCTTTGAATTCAATTCAAATAAAGAGAAATGAGTTCACAAGCAGATTTCGCATCCTTTAACAGTCTGCTTATAAATAAAGAGTCCTGCAACCAGGGCTTAGAGGTGCTAGGAGAAACGTACACTGCTTCTAGCTAGATTTCCACTTTAAAATGCCATCTTAAGGAACATTGTCTCCTGTTTTAATTCTGGTTTGGAAAAAAATGGAAACAGAGAAATTCCTTTAGAGCTGGAAGGGACCTCAAAAACAATTTCTCTTAATGTATTAGTGGGGAACTCTAGCCATAGAATGATAAAGAACTTGTTCAAGTTAAGCAGCTAGTGACAGAGTTGAGATTGAAGCCAAATCCTCTTTTGAAACTTTACTGCATTTGATATTTTTTCTATTAAAATAAGATTTTGAATGTTGTATTTATGTATCATTGTCTACAAACTATTGTTAACATTCTATATGTATAATCACTGTAAATACTTTCCTATTTTCTTCTTAAATGTAGACTATATCACCTTCAAAAAAGCATATCTGATTACACTTAGGAGTCTTATAGGGGAAAGACTGGAGAGTGGCTTTGAGGTTTGAGAAATCCCTCATTTCAGAGATAAATGTAGGGGACTAAATGCCCTTTACCCCCACATGTCATCCCATTACCCCCAATTTTTTAAAATCTCTTATTACACAGGATTAGGAGATTGAAGATACTATATTTTTTATGATTTCTAATAAAATTAATTTCAGTTTTTCTACTGTAAGTTTGTTTTTTCTTAAGGATGCTAGCTTTTTTTTTTTTTTAAAGATTGATTTATTTATTCATACAGAACTGGGATGCAAGCCAAAGGTGAAGGGGCAGTGAGAGGATTCACCAGAGACAGAGTGGGGAGCAGAACAGGCAGATCCACAAAGTACACTGTTGAGGGGAGCAGTGGGTGGGCCAAGAGAGGTCTGCAGCACCATGTGGGTCACCTCTGGGGTGGGGGATCGAACTTGCACTGAAGCAGCTGTGGCTTGCTTGCAGTGCTACGTCCTAACCCGTTGCACCACTGGATGATAGCTTTTTTTGATTGCCATTTTTTAATGATGTTAAAGATTCATACTCTTTATCCTTTTAGGAATTGTAAAATATTCTGATTTTGTTGACAATTTTTTTTTTGCTAAGGGGCCATGACTACAATTTTAATTCTTTAAGGGAAAACATTATAAAAGTTCCTGTAATCATAAAATATTTTGACTGCTGTAAGGTGCTCTATATTATATTGGAAGAAATAGACACCATTTGGAACCACTGTTTAATGGTGTCTTTTTCCCTAGTTAAAAAAAAAATATGAAGGTTCATTGAAAGAGTCCTATAGATGCTTTATAAATTAAATTAAGCAACTGAAAATTCTTTTTATTTCAGGAAATGACAAGGTTAATATATACCATTCTAAAGTCCTGTAGACATTTTTCTAGGTATATAAAAATACTAATGCAATACAGTTTAGGTTGCTTAGTAAGTTATTATACCTATGGTTCTTTAGCTTTCTTTTTGCATTTGACAAAATATTTCATCTTTTTCCATCTGAATCATAGAAGTTTGTCTCATTTTTTTAAATATAATTTTATTTCCTTGTTTGGGTAATAATTCACTTCAGTAATATGGGACATTTAGGTTGTTTCTCATTTTTATTGTTATCAGCATTTACATTATAAAATATTATTGTACACTGAACTTTATGCCGAGGTATTAATATTTCAGTGGAATAGAGTTCTAGAAGTGGATTCATTGAGTCACATTATGCATGTCTGCATTTCTGATCACCCACAGAAATGTCAAAAAAGTGCCATTATGTATTCTTACCACCAATATGGAAGTTATTTGCCACTTACTGTCAAAGTGATATATATATATATATATATATATATATATATATATATATATATATATATTGGATTGATAATTTGCATCTATCAGATGGCAATATATCTATTTAGATGCAAGATATAGATGCTAGATGCAAATATAGGTATGCTAGATGCAAATATAGGTATATTGCCATCTGATAGATGCAAATTGTATTGTTTGAAGTTACATTTCTTGGTGTACTGGTGATAACTGGTGAGCATTTTTGACTGCCTAGATGTTCTCTCCTTGTAGGACAGCATTTTTGGGTTAGTTATCTGCTGTTTAAATATAGGTCTTGCAAAATAATGTCCTCTTTCCTCCTATACCTATCTAAAGTTACATTCGCTTTATACTGATAGAAAAACATTATTGGAGGGAATAGCATTATTTGCTCATTTGCGGTGTCTGGAGTAGCATGCTAGGTATTATGCCTGAATGAAAAATCTCTTATTTTTCCGTAGAGTGCTATTTAAACTGGTATTCTTATTTATTTATTTATTTTTGCTTTTCAGAATCTTGGATTTAACGTGTGTGTGTGTGTGTGTGTGTGTGTTTAAACCAAGCCTACTCTTCTCTAAAAACTCTTATTTGTGTACTCTTTAAATGATTACTTTTGAGGTATAAAAACTTACAGGTTTTTTCAGAAATAGTCTACTTTAGGGATAAAAGCTTAACATTGAAAATGTGCTACTCAGGTTATGAAAATACACACCGAGGCTTTTAAAAGAAGTATTAATTGAAATTCAGCTTTTTGACAAGTCTTTTGAATTATTGTACTTTGTTATCTGTTTAAGGGGGAAATGAATGTATTATTTCTGATCACCTGCATAGTCTGGCTAACTTAGAATGCCTATATATACTATGGTGTATAGATATTTCTATTGGCTAGTTCCTGAAGCTCTCAAAAAAAGAATTATTGCTTCCTTTTCGTTGGAAAACGTACAGCTTCCTTTACTAGCCACATGATGGCAGTCTTGTATCTTAAGTTATGTGAAAAGCAATCCAAGTTAATGGAGATTCAGGTTTTTCAGGATAATTATAAAAACATGTAAATATCAGTAATCTCGAAGTTGGAAACAAGTTGCTGTTAAAAGTTCATTCATGGGCCCTCCCTGGTGGCACAGCAGATTAAAGCACAGCACTATGAAGCTATCCACGGCCACTGCAGCATAAGTTCCATCCCTGGCCAGGGAGCTGACCCACATGGTGCTGCAGACCTCTCCTGACTCACCTGCTGCCCTCCTCAGGCAGTGTATTTCATCCATCTGTCTGTTCTACTTCCTATACTGTCTTGGTGAATCCTCTCACCATCCGAAACTTTGGCTTGTACTTCATAAATAAGTACATCTTAAAAACAAAACACACACACACACAAAACCACTTCATTCATAAGCAAGCTTTTGTTGCTTGACGTTTTCCCTGGGATAGTGGACAGTTTTCTAAATAGGCCTACAGAAACTTTTTAGCTTGTAGGCCCAGTATATTCCATGACTTATTTTAAATTTTAAGGGGAGAAGCAGGCAAGATAGGAAAGGAAAGGTCTTTTGCACTATGTGGCTTAACCTCCCTGGCTGTGGTGAACTGCTACAATGGCTTACAGATAGCTTCACAATGCTGAGACTTAACCCCTTGTGCCACCAGGGAGGCCCTACCCTATTTTAAAATTTTTATTTAAGTAACTGGTTTATACAGATTTCTCAAAAAGAATTCCCACTAACAGGTTGTATTTCAGTGATAGGAATTCCATCTGGCCATAATAAGGGACGTAAAGAGAAAAATATTTCAGTGCAAAGGACCGTGAAATAGGTTGATCCTTCCTGTGGTCAGTCCCTGCCTTTTCATAACTTTTTCTGCTTCAGACAATACATGTTGTTTAGAAGCTCAAAGACTTTTATTACAGTGATTCTTACCAGTAGTGGCATCTCTTGTGAATTCTACAGGGATGAGAGTGGATTTGGCAGGAACCAATATTGAACTCTCCGGTTGTTACTTATGCCTGTTGCATTCCTGAGACTTTTCATTAAAATATTTTCTTATTAAATCTTATCTTTTTGCACTGTTAGATTTTTTTTGTCATGTCATTTGATTGTAAGATCGTTTGTTTTTTTGTTCCTTCTGATTCTATATACAGAATATTGAATTATCTTCATTCAAATTATATTTAAATCTTTATTTTTAAACTATGTATGTGTAAAAATTGTTTCCACTGGTAAAAATTCAAATATTACAACTCTAATATAAGAAGTAAAATTTTGCCTTTCTTTTGCTCCCTATCCTATCTAATTCCCCAGAAGTTGCCATTATTAACTATTGTATATTTTTTGCTCAATGGACTGTGTTGGAGGACTATGGGGGCTTTGGTGGTGGGCGCACTGTGGTGACTAGTCCTGAGGGTGGAAATCCTATACTGTCAAAACATCAGCAAAGAGGTACAACGGTACTTTAATAACTATATATAGTTTTTAAAAATAAAGAATTCTTTGCATAGGTATATGTAATTTTTTTACCCAAATGAGACTTGTGCTATAATTCCTTTTTTTTTTTAATTTCATATATCTTAGACATGTGTTTAACAGTAGGTATATGTTATACTATTGAGCCATTCTCCACCTAATGGATTTACTAGATTGCTCAGATCTTTTTCACCGTTCCAAGCAATCTTTAAAAAATAAACTTATTTTTATGTACCTGTGCATACACGAACTGGGGTTTAGGGTAGAAGTGCAGGTGGGAGGATTCACCAGAAGCAGAGTGGGGAGCAGAACAGGCAGATCTGGTGAAGTACACTGCTGAGGGCAGCAGCAGCAGGAGAGACAAGAAAGGTCCACGGTGCTAGGTGAGTAAGCTCTCTGGCCAGAGATCAAACTCACGCCACAGAGGCTGGCAATAGCTTGATGGCACTGAGACTTTAACCTCGGCACCACCAGAGTAGCCCAGTTACAAGCAATCTTTACTAATCTTATCCAACATCTTTGTGGACATGTGTCCCTTTGGGACTCTATCAGAGGGAAATGATATTTAAACTTGTGATACTGACAGTTCTCCAAGACATTACCAATTTACATTTGCATAGGGAAGAGGCCTGGTTTGCTCAGTATTCGCTTGCATAGTACTAAACAAGTAAATAATCATAAATTGTGTTCAGATTATTGTCATCATAATTTACCATCAATTAAGTGATATAAATGATATAATTTTAATAGATTTTGGCATTAATGCTTGAGAGAAGACTGAGTAACCTTTTACTGAATCTTAAAACAATTAACAACCTTTCTTTACTCACCTTCACTGCCATCTTCCATCTGTTTCTGTTTTTTGTAGCAAAACCTTGAAGGTATCATTTATGACTCACTGTGTCATTTCCTTTCCCTGTTGAAGCTGCATTTTTCAAGATAAAAATAAAATAACAAGTCACCTTCATCTTACTAAAGCAGTGTTTGGTTCTCATGCCCCATCTTACTGACCTGCCTGCAGATGGCTGCACCTTCTGCCCTTGGTCTCCAGGCCACTATGTTCTTGATTTTCCTCCCACTGAACTAGTTGCTTCCCAGGCTCTACGACTGGTTCCTTGCAAGTAAGCCAGTAATTGAAGTGCCCAAGGCTCAGTCTCTCGTGTTCTTCTCTTCTGACTCCTTTCTCCCCTTGGTTTCATCCAACCTCACAAAATTAAAAACCCTCTATTTGTAATTGACTTCCAGTTTCTGGCCTCCAGTCCACACAACTATCTTGAGCTCCGAACTCTCATCCAACTGTCCATTCAACCTTCACAATCAGATGCCTAATAACGGATGAAATTAAATAGGTCAGAAAGTGCTGACCCACTCTTCCATATTGGTTGATGGCAACTCCGGTGGTTTAAGACAAAACTAGGGAGTCACCCTTGACACATTGATTTCCCTCACATTCCACATAAAATCTGCTGGGAAATTTGAATAGCTCTCTTCAACATAAATCTGCTTACCTCTTACCTTTCTCTGCTGCCATCCTATAGCAGCCACCATTGTGTCTAACCCTAACATCCTCAACTCTCGGTTACTGCATGCGGCTCCTAAGTGATAACTGCTGTGCTCCGGTGGCTTTCATCTCAGAATAAAACACAGTCCACCTATAGGGTCTAACTTCTGTCACCTCATTGCCTTACCCCCCAGGGTCTCTCATTTCCTCTGCTCCAGCCACACTGACCTCCTTGCTTATGGATCACTCCAGTTTACCAGTTCACAATACCTGTTGGTTGTTTTTTTTTCTGTCTAGGTCTCTGTTCCCTCATCTTTGTCAAATCTTAAGGAGCTCAAATTGGCTCCTTAATGTTGCATCATGTGACACCACTATTTAAAGTTGAAAGTATCTCCACCTAAACTTACTTGCACTTCCAGTCCCCTTTACCTTGCTGTTTTTTTCACCATTAATATAACATATAATTCACTTCTCACTTACTTTTTACTATTGTCTGTCTTTCCTAATACAGTGTCATAAGGGTAGGGTTATATTTCTTCTCTTTTGTTCATTGATAGTTCCCAGGGTCTTAAAATACTGCTTGGCACGTTGTAGGTACTTGATGGATGAATGCATGGATGCACTTTGAGCAAGGGCAGGCATGCGAAAATTTTTACCTCTGAATTTTATTATATGGTTAAAAATTTTTATAATATAGACAAATGTTAGCAAATTAAGTACTTATTTACTACTTATTTGGGTCTGTAGGTTTTCTTTAAGTTTCAGGATTTCTTTTTCTAAATTTTCAGCTTCAGTTGTGGAGGGTCAAAAGGGTATCATTCCTCGAGCTATCCAAGAAATATTTCAAAATATCTGTGAAAATCCTGGCATTGACTTTAATATAAAAGTGTCTTATATAGAAGTATACAAGGAAGAGTTAAGAGATCTTCTAGAACTGGAGACATCTGTGAAGGATCTTCATATCAGAGAAGATGAAAAAGGAAACACAGGTAAAACAGGCTACTTAATTGATTGCCTTCATTATCAAACAGATATGATGAATGCAGTTTCTAGAGATATTCCAAACAATCTTTAAAACAGACATAGAAGCAAATTGAAATTATTTTAAAATTGAATAACTTACTAATCATCAACATTTACCCTGGTAAAAAGAAGTTCAGACTGGTAAGGTAAATTTAGTAATTTATAATTCAATACTAATTGTCTATAAGTGCCCCCACCATTCCCCTTAAGAAAGTCTGTGAAATAGACTGCATTGACCTTTTTTATCCTGCCGGGCCTATCCTGTGATGGAGGTTGGCATTTATTTTGTGTTTGTCCAAGTTGATTAGAACTCACCTTGTTGCTACCTCTTTGATTTTTGTCTCAGCATGCCTATTGCTTCCTCTTTTTTAATTTTTTTTTTAAAGATTTATTTATTCATACAGAACTGGGGTACAGGCCAGAGATGTGGAGGGTGAGAGGATTCACCAGAGACAGAGTGGGGAGCAGAACAGGCAGATTAATGAAGTACACTGCTGAGGGGAGCAGCGGGCGGGTCAGGAGAGGTCTGCCTCGCCATGTGGATCTCCTCCAGGGCAGGCGGGAATCGAACTCATGCGGAAGTGGCTTAAGTTTCTTAGTGCTGTGCTTTAGCCCGCTGCGCCACCAGGGAGGGCCCCCTCTTTTTTAATTTTTAATTTAGTTTATTTGTATCTATATTATCCTTTTTTTGTGTCTCTTAAGGACTGACTTTCTGTGCTAGCAACCTATTAATCTCATTAAATATTCACTTGTTTGGGAATGGGACATTAGAATAAGAGGTTCAAAATGCATAGCATTTTAAAGAATAATGCTTTCTGCTTTTTGGATTTAAAAGGCAATATGTTCATCATATAACATTTTAAAAATATGGGGAAGTATAGGAAATTTAGAGATCCCAGGACCCAGAAATAACATCTTCCTCTTTTTGGGATGTTTCCTTCCAGGTTTCTTTTTCTTTGTACATAAATAATTAAAAAATACATACTTGCAACCCTGTATACAGGATTGTATTTTATTATTTCAATTAATATTTATATTGTAAGCATTTCCATATGTCATTACACATTTTCCTTATTTATGCCTCTTTATGGTCTGAATATATTACAATTCACTTAACATGCCATTGTAGGAAATTCAGATTATTTCCAGATTTTCACCATTTTTTTAAAAAGATTATTTATGCTCACAAACTGGGGTACAGGCCAAGGTGTGGTGGGTGAGAGGGTTCACCAGAGATGAGTGGGCAGCAGAACAGGCCAGCTGACAAAGTACACTGCTGAGGGGAGCAGCGGGCAAGTCAGGAGAGATCTGCTGCACCATGTGGGTCACCTCTGGGGCAGGGGATCATGCTCGTATTGGAGAGGATTCAGAGAGCTTCATAATATGATGCTTTAACCCATTGTGCCACCAGGGAGAGCCTGATTTTCACTATTTTTAATAACATTGTAATGTCTATTCTTGGATGTCTTTCTCTCTTAGAATTAGTAGAACCTTCCTAGAGAAAACCTGCCAGAGGAATGACTCCTTGGGGGAAGTTCCTAGCAGTTTGGGAAGTATAGTAGCTGGGGATTCCGTCAACAGTCTGGAAGGACAGTAACGCTCTCCTTCTCTTACGCCCTGTCTGGCAGCCTTGTATGCTGAATGCTTGAGGAAATAAGGCTTGTTTCTCAGAAAGAAAGCATACGTGATTTGTTATGGTCTTACTAGATCACTCAGTATAGTCTTATCTTTTCTGTATGGAATTAAGACTGGTATGTTGAAATGCTAATGTGAATGTTTTTACCTTTTATTAAAAATTACAAAAATAATGCATACTTATAATAAAATAGCCTCACAGTACAAAAGTATACACTATCATGCCTGATGAACTGAAGATCAAATTTATCCATAGCTTAAAATAATTCTATAGCTGATTCAATCCTGAAAAATTTGTGAAAGGATGAAGCAAATTATCCTATCTACCTTATATAATGCCATAAATAAATGACAAATTGCCATATAGCTTATATCATGTCCCATACAACCAAAAATACATTTATTTGATATTATTTAGTTGGTATCCAACCCTGATACTGCTCAACAAGTACCATCCTGGGCCCTGCTTTTCAAAGATTCTGATGAATTCATATGAGTAGTGCCTGAGCACTGGTACTTTCTTTGTTCATAAAGTTCCCAGGAGATTTGCAGCTGGGTTTCAGAACCATAGACAGTTCGAAAATGAAAGCTTAACATTAAAAAAAACTTATGAAAATCACTGTGATTAACAGTTGTTTCCATATTTTATAATTATTGATATTTTAGCACTGCCTGTTTGCAGTACAGTATAATTTAGAACTTTGAATGAAGGTTGTGAAGGTATCAAGGTAGAACTAATGCAAGCAAAATGATTATTTTTCAAAGAAACAATAGCATGACAGAGTGCCTCCTCTATTAACAATTTGAGCTCAGAATCAGGAGCTTTATTGTTCTAATTTTAAATCCCAAACCCACCTATTCTTTTTTGAAATATTTTTGAATAAAACACAAAGTAGGTAATAAGCTTAGTTTATTTTTGGTTCTTGATCTGCTATTGAAATCAGTTTTTTTTTTTGCTTTTGTTTACTTTGTACTCATATATAGGGCATACTTGTTTTTTTAATATACAAGTGACTTTATACTGAATTTTCTTTGATCATTGGCTATGACTCCATAGTACAAAAAAAACTTGAATATTAACAAAGCTTAAAAAATTAATTTTGTTACTACAAATTCTTTTGAGTTATATATTTATTTTATTAACTAGATTTCATTAGTAAACTGTAAATCAAAATAACTGAATGGAAATTTTTCTTTTGTCAATCATTTTAAAGAATGTGTGGCCTAAAGAGACCAGTTTATAAAAATTGTTTAAAATGTATATATTAGATCTTTTAGAATTTAAGTATTGAAATGATTGCTCTTTATTAAAAGTTTCTTTAGGAGGTTATCTAAAAGTATTTAGTGGTGTTGCTGTTAATTATTGTTTGAGATGCTTTTTTTTTTTAACAAATTTGTGTAATTTAGCTACTGGATTTTGGTTAAATCTGGGCTTTAAACCTTGCTATTGCTGTTTTAAGTGATTGTTGGGGCCAAGGAATGCCAGGTGGAGAGTGCAGATGAAGTGATGAGTCTTCTGGAGATGGGGAATGCAGCCAGGCACACAGGTACCACCCAGATGAACGAGCACTCCAGTAGATCACACGCTATTTTTACCATCAGCATTTGTCAAGTTGAAAAAAATATAGATGCAGTGGAAGATGGAGACTGGTATTCGCATCGGCATATTGTCTCAAAGTTCCACTTTGTGGATTTGGCTGGATCAGAAAGAGTAACGAAAACAGGGAATACTGGTGAACGGTTTAAGGAATCCATTCAAATCAACAGTGGGCTGCTGGCTTTAGGAAACGTGATAAGCGCTCTAGGGGATCCACGCAAGAAGAGTTCACATATTCCTTACAGGGATGCTAAAATCACCCGCCTTCTGAAAGATTCCCTGGGAGGCAGTGCCAAGACTGTCATGATCACTTGTGTCAGCCCATCCTCCTCAGATTTCGACGAGTCCTTAAATTCTCTTAAATACGCTAACAGAGCACGCAACATTAGAAACAAACCTATCTTAAACTTCAGCCCTGAGTCAGACCGCATGGACGAAATGGAATTTGAGATTAAGTTGCTTCGAGAAGCTTTGCAGAGCCAGCAGGCTAGTATCAGCCAAACTAGCCAAACCCGAGAGAGTACTCCCGATAAAAGTAAAATCCATTCTCTTGAGGAACAGGTGGCTCAGCTACAAGGAGAATGTCTGGGTTACCAAAACTGTTTAGAGGAAGCCTTTACCTTTCTAGTGGAGTTGAAAGATGCTGTCAGACTGACCCAGAAACAGCAACACAAGCTGCAGGAGTGGTTTAACATGACACAGGAGGTCCGGAAGGCAATTCTCACCTCATTCAGAGGCGGCAGAGGCTCTCTTAACCTGGAAGAAGGACCACAGGACATTACAGTTCTCCATCTTAAGCGAGAGCTTAAGAAATGCCAGGTACTTAGACACCATTTCTATAAGTGACTGGTTTAAGGGTCACATTTATGTGAGCAAGTAAGATTCATTGTGGAAGCTCAGAAGCTTTTAAAAATCATTAATATGTAAAATCTTTTTTACCATTTTGTTCACCCTTCTCTTTTCCCCTTGCTTTCTCATAATTTGTTCTTTTTTGGCTACTTCTCCTTTCTCTGCTCCTTAAAATATATTTTCATTTGTTATGCTCATGTGGACCTAGTCCTTAATGTAGAGAATGAAAACAAGCAATTTCAGAAAAAAAAATACTTTTTTTAAATGTAGTACTTTAATGAGTTATTGAAAAAAAAAACCTTCATCCTTTGAGTTTGGAATATTTTTTTAAACAAAATATACTTGATAATATTTAAAGAACATAAGTATGTACATGTATACATTTTGCTTGTGTGTGTGTGTGTAGAGAGAGAGACAGATTTCAGAATTACGTTTTCTCACGTTTCATTCAAAAAGCACCTTATGATGCTTGGGTAGAGAGTATGTGTCATTGTAAAAATGGTGGAGAATAGTTCCAGTTCTGTTTTTTCAGAGTTTACAATCTGGTGGACAAATGGATATTTTTTTTAGTTTAAAAAAAAATACTACTACTTATAGTTAAAAACGTAACTTTGTAGTTAGAAATATTCCCTCAACACCTTTTTATATGTGTCATAAATCATTTGTATTATTTTCAGAGCATTTATTGAATCTTTTGGCTTTGCTTCTGTGGATTGAATCCATTGATATTTACCTATTTAAATTAAAAAAATTTAAACTGTTTTCTCACTCAAAACAACTCCATTACATGTTAATATAAAGTACATTTTTTGGATAAAAATTAACCTTCCTCAAACAAGTATTTAATAAGAGTCAAACTGTTTTATGTTTCTACAAATCTTTTCATTTTTGGCTGAAGAAAAGATAGGTGGATTTTCATATCTGTTTTATCATTCAACTTACTACAATATTTGTTTTAGTTGAAGTATATGAGGAACTAGCCTCATGGATTTATTGTTGGAAGGAAGTAGTATTTAATTTTTAAAAAAGATTTATTTATTTATGCATACAGAACTGGCATTCAGGCTAGAGGTTCAGGGGCTGTGAGAGGATTCACCAGAGACAGACTGGGGAGCAGAACAGCCACGTCAACAAAGTATACTTGCTGAGGGGAGCAGCAGGCGGGTCAGGAGCGGTCTGCGGCGCCATATGGGTCACCTCTGGGGCTGGGGATCGAACCTGCACCAAAGCATTTGCAGCTAGCTTGCAGTACTGCGCCTTAATCCACTGTGCCACCAGGGAGGGCCCAGTATTTAATATTTTAATGCCCTTTTCAGATAAATGTCAATATTATACCAACAAGTAGAAATGTTCTAAAGATTACTTCCAAGTTAGGGTTTGAAACTTTCGTTCATTAAGATCTAGACATTAAAATCCACTGCTCTCTCTCTCTTGTGTTTTGAATGGATCTTTTACCCATACATGATTTTGATCATTTGGAAAATATTTGTTTGCTGTATGATGTAGAGCTTATCAAGCATATATAAAAATATTGAAAAGTGCAGTACTAGGAAGGCAATAAATGCCCATGAAAGAGAATATTAGCTAATGAGAGTTACAGTTAAATCTTTTCTTATGCAGGAGGGAAGTCACACAGGTTTTATAAATTTAAAGGATTATAGAGACCATCAGGATCATGCTCATCATCATTTGATCATTTAAGGGAGGATTCTAGCAGAGAAAAGAAGGGTCTTGTCCAAAGTCACAAGTGAGGCTGACAGAATCAAGCTGGTCCCAGCGCAGGTCCCCTTTACCTTGGAGCTGCTGCCTGGGAGTATTGCACTTCATCCATTTTGTATATTAAGCTTTATTTATAAAGTGAACAAGTTACTGTAAATCATCTCCTCGTTCTGCTCATCTTTTCTTTTCACACAGGCTTTGGGTCCAGACAGGCCTGGGTTCAATGTTAGGAGTTTGGTTTACCCACTGTGTCTACTTGGAAAGAAGTTTTCATCTCACTATGCCTTTGTTTCTTCATGAAAGGAATTGTATCTGTTTAGCGAAAGGTTTTTTAAATGCTAAGTCCCTGACATAAAGTAGATCCTTGGCAAATGTCTGCTTTGAAAATTGAGTAAAAAGTATTATTATTTTAAAAATAATTTTTAAGTAGTAAAGTTTAAATAACTTTAAAAAGACTTAAAATATGACATCTAAAAAGATGACATCTGCATGTGAAAGTGTAAAAAACAGACTTTTTTTTTTAAAGATTTATTTATTTGTGCATACAGAACTGGGGTACAGGCCAGAGGCTCAGGGGTGGTGAGAGGCTTCACCAGAGACAGAGTGGGGAACAGAACAGGCAGATTGACGAAGTACACTGCTGAGGGGAACAGCTGGCGGGTCAGGAGAGGTCTGCCACGCCATGTGGTCACCTCCGGGGCAGGCGGGAATCGAACTCATGCGGAAGCGGCTTTAGATTCTCAGTGCTGTGCTTTAACCCGCTGCGCTACCAGGGAGGGCCAAAATAGACATTTTTTTAATAAACATTCAAATAAATTCTTATACCTTCTAGGTCAGTTTGGACATTGTAACCTCTTTGTTTTTTAAAAACCCACACTAGAATTTTATGGTAATTAGAGCAAATTTATAGCTTTTATTGAATATACTTTAGAATCTGGAATAACTAGCTTTTATTTTTAAAAAGCAGGAAATAAAAATCAGAAAATCTTCTTATTTTTATGTTAAGTCTTATGTGATGGCTGTGATAGATCATGACAGTCTCTTATTAGGAAACCAGGAGAAATGTCAAAAATAAACAGGATAAGAAAATTTGTTGAGACTTCAAGCTGTTATATCACTGTTTTGTATTATGTGGACTCTCAAGTATTTTCCATGGTGATTCTCTCCTGTATTTTCTCCTACCAGTGTGCTCTTGCTGCTGATGAAGTAGTATTTAATCAGAAGGAACTGGAGGTGAAGGAACTAAAGAATCAAGTACAAGCCATGGTACAGGAAAACAAAGGACATGTTATATCCTTGAAAGAAGCACAGAAAGTGAATAAGTTGCAGGTAGTTTCTTAATGTTTTCAATATCTGGTTCTGTAGGTTTATGTAGATTTAGTTGAAATAGTAACTGAAAGAAAATAATTTTAAATCATAAATGGGGAGATTTACAAAAGTAGGTTTCTGTGGAAGAATTCTGAACACAGGCAGGCATCTAAAAGATTTCTAGTTTAGCTTACATTTCACAAATATAAATATAATACCTAGGAACTTGCTTTGCAAATCATACTATCTTTTCTCAATATTTTGCCCTTATAATTGTTTATCTTGGTATAAGGGATAACCTGACATTAAGAGTTGGGATCTAAGGGCATAACTTGAACTTTTTAATTTGTTAGATTATCCTTATATACTCTATGATTTACTTTTTAAAAAAGATTTATCTTATTCATTTATGCTTATAAGAGCTTGGGTGCAGACCAGAGGTGCAGAGGGGTAAGAGGATTCACCAGAGACAGTGGGGAGCAGACCGAGCATATTTACTAAAATACTTTGCAGGGGTGAGACAGGAGAGGTCTGCTATACAATATGTGGGTTAAGCTTTCTAGCCGGGGATCAAACCCAGACCTTAACACTAATAGTGCTGAGACTTAACCCTTAGGCCACCAGGGAGGCCCTGAAGTTGAGCACTTTTCATGTCTTTTTGCTGTTTGGGTATCTTCCTTTGTAAAGTGCTTGTTTAAGTCTCTTACTTGTTTTTCTTTTTTTAAAAAAATATTAATTTATGCATTTAAGAACTAGGGTACAGGCCAGAGGTTTGAGGGCTTTGAGTGAGAGGATTCACCAGAGACAGAGTGGGGAACAGAAGAGGCAGATCTACTGAAATACACTGCTGAGGGGAGCAGCTGACAGGACAGGAAAGGTCTGCTGTGCCATGTGGGTCAGTATCTGGCCAGGGATGGAACTTGGGCTTCAGAGCCATAGATAGCTTCCTAGAGCTGGGCTTTAACCCCTTGCACCACTAGGGAGGCCCTCTTGTTTAATTTTCTACTGAGTTATCTGTATTGTGGCGGTTTGTTATATATTCTGTTTATGAGTTCTTTGTCAATTACATGGTTACAACTTTTTTCTTACTGTGACTTGGTTTTTTACTCAGTGACATCTGTTGGTAAAAACACTGATTATGTATGTAGAAAGCCAACCCCTTCCTTCCCCATTGGCAGCTATCCCCAGCTACAACCCCCACTGCTGATATACAGTTTGCTCTTCCTGTTGTCCGAGTTCTCCTTTTCCCCAGGCTCTCTAGCTCTGTGCTTTTGGCTTTGTTTTTCACTGAATAAAGGCCTTCACTTCCCTCTACCTATTACCATTTTTTGTTTCCTTTGTCGTTTGCACTTCTTTCTTGCTTTTCCCACTTCTTTTTTTACTTCTTGGATTTCACTCTGAAAGCTCAAACTTCTATAAAAATCAGCTAATCAGTGTGCTTCAGATCGGCACACTAACCAGTCACAGTGTGTAGGGCATTAGCTTTGAGTATTTGACTCTTTAGACTGTGTTTGTTGCTGCTTACTTGTCAAAAGTTTCTGTCTCTGTGAATATCCTAGATTGTTGTGAACTCCTAGAGGTTAGCCTTTGGCTAAATAGGTTTTAGTGTACTGTTAAAGTAGTTGCAGTTTTGGTCAATGTACAATTTACTTATATAATGTTCTATATGTATATTGAGGTTTTCTTTTTAATATTCTCATCTTTCTTCTACAAAGAATGAAAAAATAATAGAACAACAACTTCTTGTGGATCAACTGAGTGAAGAACTAACAAAAGCTAACCTGTCAATGACATCTTCAGCTAAGGAAATTTGTGGAGATGGGCCAGATGTCAGGACCCATGAAATGAGACCATATACTGTACCATTTGATAATCGTTTGGGGCGTTGTATTTACATCCCAGCAAGATCAGATTCCAGGAAGGTAAAATCTAAACATTAATCTCTTTCTTATTTTGAGATTTGAATAGCTACTATATATTAATATTACACTGTATTTTTACAGTGTCAGCAGGTTTTTTTCCCTGTTTGGTTTCATGGGTCTTTGTGTATACTTCTTTTATATATGCTTAAAAGAAGTGCTTAAAGTTAAAAGTCATTTACTTTGATTTTGTCTATTTTCAGAAGCACTTTTGTGTTTTATTCAGTCCTAAGGTGACGTAAGTCTGCATAAAAATCAGTTATGAAGTTTAGTTTTAATTTTTATTTATGTATACATGCTTGTGTGGGTTAGTAAATACATAAACACAGCACACACAGATTTTCTCTTAAAAGTTATCAAAGACTCTCTGCTGTGGAAAAGACTAATTAGATTAATGAATTTTTGTTTCTACTTAATTTTATGAAGGGGTAAATGAGATGTATGTGATGATTACAGTCAGATGAGATAAGTGAGATGCATGTGATGGTTACAGTCAGAGAGATAAGAAATAACAGAGGCAGACGTGGGGGTGAACACTAAATTGGATATATATCTGTATCAGTGGCCCAACTTCCCTGTCTGTCAGAATGGGGGTCACATGGGGTTTCCCACAGGACCAGTTCATCACCTTAGAGTGAGACAGGCAATTGCTTTCCTGGTCGATAGGGGTTTTTCAATTTTGAGTAGTTGGATTTTAAATTTTAAACCATTGTTATTATTAATTTCAGTTTTATTTTGTAGTGTATAGTTGAATATATGGTAAAATTTCATAGGATTTTGGGAGAAGAAATTCAGGATTCAATTTTGATATCTATTACTTCAACTTAATTTTATATCACGTCTTCTATACTGTTTCTTTTACTATTGACTAGTTCTGTGAAAGAACTTCTCTTTCTATCCATTAATTTTTTTAATGTTATATTTGTTTTTTTATCCTGATTATAAGTTTTATATGTAAGTATATACTTGTATCTAAGTGTATACACACACACTTTGATCCCTTTTTCTTCTTTATTAGATTTACACGCATACTCTTTGAATAGGTAGAACTTTTGTGGTCACTTAAGAATGATTTGGCCCTTCATTAAATTCTTACTTATCATGTTAAGGAAGTAGAAGTCCTCTAGCAGGATAAAAATAGACAGCTTAAAAAAGTCACTTTTTTTGTTGTTGGGGGTATCCATGTAAGGTCTACACAAGCCCTTCTATGTGCTCCCTGGACCGAGTAGTTGCCGAATTTCGATCCCGAAGTCAGATGCTGCTGGGCCATATAGAAGAACAAGATGAAGTCCTCCACACTCAGTTTTCTGATAATAGTGATGATGAAGAATCAGATGGCCAAGAGAAATCTGAAATTAAGTATGTTATATATATACTAGTTTAATAAACTTATAATGCAAAATATGTATATATACACTGAAGGTGTATATTCTTTATTTAATGTTAAAGAGTTCTTGCTAACTATACTGTCAGCTAATGTATTATGTGTTATGAAGCCAGTATTTAAGCACAAATCATCAGACTTACAATTAAAAAAATAACTTTGGTTTTAGAACTTTCAGAATAGTTGAATTTTAATTTTCTGAATAGTGCCACAGTGACAGCAAACGTGATAAATTTTCTGTTGATTCCTCATATGTAATATTTGAGGAATATTAGTATAATTCTGGGTTTTTTTGTACAGTTAATACTTTTTTAAAATTAATGTCACTTTTGGGGGAAACTTATTTGAGGGAAAATTAGAAAACACCAACAGACTAGTTACCTTTGATACACCGATGGTTTCTTTTTTTAGATGTAGAAGTCATTCATGGATTAAAAAGCCAAGCTCTGTTTGTTCTCTTGTTGAACTGAATAATATTCAGGATCAAACACAGAAGTCAAATTTGGGGAATGAAGGTACTAAGAGTTTCTTAAATAATTTAGACCTATGTTCATAAAATACTATTGTTTTTCTTTGGTTGGTAAGTTAAGGAAGATCTAAGAATTCTCAAAGATGGGAACTTGTTAGGATTGCTTTCCTGGTTAGTAGAACTTTCCTTATTTTTTCTGTTCTGCCTCTACTTTTTACTCTATGCACTTTTAAATAACATTTCTACTGGTCACTTCTGGCTAATTATAGACTAAACCTTACAGAATAGGGAGTTTATAGTCAAACCTGAGTTAATGTGCACTATACTTTGTTTTAAAATACATCTTAAGTAATTTTTAGTTGTCTGCTTCACTGATTCACAGTACTGAGTTAGTACTGGTTACGGACTATCCTTAACAATATATTTGCTATTGAGCTAAATCAGTGTACCAAGAACATGTAATATTCTAGTACATAATAGAAATGAATTTTTGTACATTTAATATCAGTGTCAGAAGTGTTTATTGCCAAAAGCTATAGTATAATAGGAGATTTTAACTTATGTCTCTTGACCTTTGAGTTTGGTAAAACACAAGAACTATGAGTATAGAGAACATAAATAAGTCCTGCACTTGGAGAATAAAGGTAACTTTAAAGGAACCTATGCCTGTAATAAAAACTTGACTGTGTCCCAAATAACACTGAAATAAAGTTAAAAATAGTATGGATAAGTGCTATTCAAATAGCCATCCTGAATTTTTGGAACTACACTGAGTATTGGAGAGTACATTCTCTGATTACAATAAAATTGGACGTTAGTAGGAAAACCAATACCATCTAGAGATTTTGCAGTTATTAAGAGTTTAAAGAAAAGCTCAAATTGTACAGTCTCTAAAGGCAGTGAAATGCTATATCAGAGCCTATATATTGGGATATTATTAAAGCATCTTTCTCCATCTCTCTTTTTAGAGAAGTTTTTACTGTAAACTAGAAAGCTTAAGTCCCAAATGATATGTGCTGTCACCCTCTGTGTAGCCTTTCTCTGCTGTCTCTGCTACAGAGTGCTGCTGTGTCTGATTTCTTTTTTAACTGTTTCTGCTGAATATAAGTTCATTAGTTTTGTCTCTTTTATTTTAAAGACTTAAAGATTGAATGTCTCCAAGAGAGTCAAGACTTGAATTTGCAAAAATTAAGAAATTCAGAGCTGATACTTACTGAAGCTAAACAAAAAATGAGAGAACTTACAATTAATATCAAGATGAAGGAAGATCTGATTAAAGAATTAATAAAAACAGGTAATGCAATACTGTGAACCAGCTTATGTCAGAATGGTACTTTTAAAATTGTTACTTTTTGACACTCAACTATCCATTGTAGCTTTTATATAAAAAGGTGTATTTTAACCGCATGCAAAAGTATGAAGCCAGATCACTACTTCATACCATGCACAAAAATCAACTCATAATGGTTAAAAGAACTTAACAATAAGACCTGAAACCATAAAATATGTAGAAGAAAATATAGGTAAAATACTACAATACCTGCATCTCAGTAACATCTTTAAAGACTCATCCCGTAAAGCAATCCCCTAAAGAAAATGAAGGAGAAGAAAACAGCTGGGATTACATCAAATTAAAAGTTCTATACAGCAAAAGAGACATTAACCAAAACAAAGACATACCCTACTGGTTGGGAGAACATTTTTGCACTTCACATAACTGATAAGGGATTGATAACAAACATATACAAAGAACTCACAGGACTCAAGAAAAACAATGTAAATATTCCAATCAAAAATGGCCAGTTAAACTCAAAAGACACTTCTCTAAATATGAAATGCCAACATACATATGAAAAAATGTCCAACATCACTCATAATCAGAGAAATGCAAATCAAAACCACAATGAGATACCACTTTACACCTGTGAGAATGGCGCAACAGGTGCTGGTGAGGATGTGGCAAAAAAGGAACTCTCCTACACTCCTGGTGGGGGTGCAAACTAGTGCAGCCACCATGGAAAGCTGTGTGGAGGACCTCAGTTTACGAAAAGTTGAGCTGCCCATTTGACCCAGCATTTCCACTCCTAGGGATCTACGATCCAAAGGACACAAAGCATTAACTTAAAAGGGTACCTGCACTCCTATGATTTTTGCAGCACTATTTATAATAGATAAGACTTGAAAACAACCCAAATGCCCAAAAATAGATAATTGAATCAAGAAAATGTGGTACATATACACAGTGGAATACTATTCAGCCAAAAAAAGATAATCTGATGCCATTTGCAGCAACATGGTTGGAGTTAGAAGGGATTATGCTCAGTGAAATAAGTCAGGAAATAAAAGATACTGGTGGTTTCACTAATAGAAGGAATATAGGGAAACCAAATTAGGGATCAGGGGGAAAATGACAAATACAACAAAACTAAAAAAATTAAAAAATACAACAAAACTAAACAAAATCAGACACCTATAAATCAGAGACATTTTGCAGGGGAGGGGGACAGAATGAGGGCTGAGAGAGCACAAGGGATTATAGTGATGGCACATGGGTGAATTGGTGGTGGAAATTCAATGGGAACTACTCCTGATAGAAAATATGTACAAATAAAGAAATTAAAGATAAAAAATAAAATAAAAAGGTGTATTTTAGAGCTAATATATGAGGAAGGGTAACTATTCAAGGAACTTTGTTATATTGGGATTTCATCTATGAATTGTTCTAACTGGTATAAATTGTCTTGTGCTAAAACTCTACAGCAATTAGTGTTTTTTGTTGCTTTGAACAAGTTTTTTTTTAAGATTTATTTATTTATGCATACAGGCCAGAGGTGCAGGTGCAGTGAGAGGATTCACCAGAGAGAGTGGGGAGCAGGATAGGCCGAATGAAGAAGTACACTGCTGAGGGGAGCATTGGGTGGTTCAGGAGAGGTCTGCCTTGCCTTGTGGATCACCCTCGGGCCAGGGATCGAACTCATGCTGAAGTGGCTTTAACTTTTTTTTTTTTTAAGATTTATTTATTTATCATACAGAACTGGGGTACAGGCCAGAGATGCGGAGGGTGAAAGAATTCACCAGGGACAGAGTGGGGAGCAGAACAGGCAGATCGACGAAGTACACTGCTGAGGGGAGCAGCGGGCAAGACAGGAGAGGTCTGCTGCGCCATGTGGATCTCCTCCAGGGCAGGCGGGGATCGAACTCATGTGGAAGTGGCTTAAGCTTCTTAGTGCAGTGCTTTAAGCCGCTGCGCCACCAGGGAGGGCCACTTTGAACAATTCTTTCTCAAACACTTATTTTTATAGGAAAAATTAAGAGATTTTAAAAATGTATCAATAAAAAAGTATCCAAAACATTAACATTTTCATGAAATATATCACATAGCTATAAAATTAATATCTTGGCATTTACATTTCATGTAAATTTCATGAAATAAATTTCAGATCAGTTCAGTTATCTTTATTTCCCTAGATATTGACCGAATTGCGAAAATGCCTTTAGTCTCTATTTAGTTAACTTACTTGTTTTGTTCTTTCCTTTCTCAAGTTTTACTGATTTTCCACTTGTTTACATAACCATGTAATTTGGGAGCACAGCTTCAAACCTCCATATATGTATCTGCCTCACTCACCCTCCACCAAATCTCTAGTCACAGCTCTGTCATCTCTTCTCTCCTATCTCCTCCTCTTCTCCGCACTCCCAAGTGCCCTCATTCCTCTAGTAACCACTTTATTTTTCACAGTCCAAGAATAGTCTTGTCCTTTGCCAGTTTGTTTTCTTTGGTTGTTTACATTCTGCAAATGAGGGAAACCATCCTGTAATTGTCTTTTACTTTTTAATTCATTTCAGTAGCATATTTACCAAAGTCTGTTCATTTCGCTACAAAAGGCACTGTTTTTTGTCTTTTTTTTTTTTTGACAGTTTCACTTTTTATTTTCCAACCTGGATTTCTGTTTTTTTTTTTTAATAACATAATAGTTTATTTTTATGTCATTTTGTGCATTTTTTCATTTCAGTTGTAATTCCATGGGCTTCCCATCACCAGATCACCCATATGCCATCACCATAGTCCAGTGTATTTCCTTCCCCCCACTATTTTTGATCCCATTCTCCACTCCATCCCCATAAACTGTCTCTGGTATATAGCTGTTCATTAGTATTTCCTCTCTCCTCAATTCATTATACTCCTGCTATGAGTGAAAACCCATCCGGTATTTTTCCTTTTCTTTCTGGCATATTTCACTAAGCATGATCTTTTCCAGCTCCATCCATGTTGCTGGCAAAAGGCATGTGTTTCTTTTTTTTTGTTGTTGCTGAGTAATATTCCATTGTGTATATGTACCACATCTTTTTAATCCTGTCATCTACATCTGGGCATTTGGGCTGTTTCCATGTCTTTCCAATTGTAAATGAAACAGCAGTAAACATGGGGGTGCAGGTGTCTTTTTTGAATCAGTGTTTTTGTGTCTTTTGGGTAGATACCTAGGAGTGGATTGCTGGGTCATATGGAAGCTCCATGTTTAGCAGTTTGAAGTGTTTTTCGTCTTTTTTTTTTTTAAGATTTATTTATTTGTGCATACAGAACTGGGGTGCAGGCCAGAGGCTCAGGGGCGGCGAGAGACTTCACCAGAGACAGAGTGGGGAGCAGTACAGGCAGATGGACGAAGTACACTGCTGAGGGGAGCAGCGGGCGGGTCATGAGAGGTCTGCCACGCCATGTGGATCTCCTCCAGGACAGGCGTGAATCGAACTCATGTGGAAGTGGCTTTCGCTTCTCAGTGCTGTGTTTAACCCGCTGCGCCACTAGGGAGGGCCTGTTGTTCGTCTTTTAAAAGAACTGAATAGTATGCTATGGAGTATATATTCCAAAATTTTCTTTATGCACTAATCTGTCGATGGGCATTTAGGTTGTTTCCATGGCTTGGCTATTGTGGATAATGCTGCTGTGAGCATAGGAGTGTGTAAATCTTTTAATGTTAGTGCTTTCACAGTCTTTGGGTAAATAACCTGCAAGTGATATTGCTGGATCATATGGTATTTCCTTTAAGTCTGCTCTAAATTGCAGTTCCACCAATAGTAGTTGAGTGTTCCTTTTTCTGTACATCCTTGCCAATGTTTATTATTTCTATTCTGTTTGATATAGGTCATTTTCACAGGAGTGAGTTGTTTTTGCTGCTTTAGTCTATATTTGCCCTTATAATAAATGATTTGAATAATTGTTCACATGCTGTAGGCCATCTGACATATGCATGTCTTCTTTGGAGAAGTGCCTATTTAATTCATCTGTTCATTTTTAAAACTTTTTTTTTTATTGAGGTGGTACTGATTTACAGCACTGCATATGATTTGGAAATACAGAATCACGTCCTTCAGGTGTCTGTTACCACACACCAACCACCAAGGCACTTGTAGTCCTCTACAGTAGTCCACTGATCCCTCTTCTCTCTTCCCCTCCCCTCTGGTAGCTTCAATTCTGTAGCCAGATTTCTGGGTTATTTTTTTAAA